CTAAGGTTTATGCCAACAAGCCCACGACCACCCACACCTTGAAGGAGGAATCAACGCTGTATCAACGAAATTCAGCCAACATTTATGCAAAACGGTCATGGAAAATTTCAACAAAAGAGTGCGTATGTGCCAGCAAAGCCATGGAGGCCATTTACCCGATATGCTATTTGATATATAATCCTATACTGTATACTTTATGAATCAATAAAAAATTTACAATTTCTAATTATAAACCTTTGTTTTCTATCAAAATTACTTCTTGCGTGAATTTTGGGACGCCCTTTACCTTTTCCTATAGGTTTTTATATTTGAAATTTTGAATTATGAGGACTAATTTTACTTATAGAAATGAAATTTGAAAAGAGTTATCTTTTTTTAAGGGTTTTATCTTCTTTTCACTTTTTCCCAGATATTATTTCTATGAGCTACAGTTTTCGAGCTATTACGGAAGCCTAGATTGTTGCAGTTCAGATCATAATTTTTTCTCTGCCGTTCTATTACTGTCTTTCCAAGTGGTTTAGAAACTAGCATTAAAAGAAATTTGACATAATTAATCTCTTAATACAAAGTAGCAAACTAGATGCTCTAGATATGATTTAAAGTTTGGTCTCGTCAGCTTTTTGAAAGGAAAGTAACTAGGCTTAATTTCAGTACAAATAGCTAGATGCCTACTGTTTTCCATTTGGTTCTTTTTGAGTTTTGTTTGTTTGTTGCATCTTGGCCTCTGAAGGTATTTGAGTTTGTAATCACTGTTTAATATATTTCAAGAATTTTTGTTTTGCTTTTAAAGTATTATCTATTATTCCTATTCAAAGTTCTTGCCAAACTGATTTATAAAGTTCTTCAGTGAAATAACTGTTTCTAAGGCCAAACAAATTTGGGAAAAACTGTACTGTGTACTCCCCTGGGGAAATCATAATGCATATTAGCATATTGAATAATTGTGGTAGCAATCTGTTTAACTGTCAAACTTATCTTTCCTAAATTTTTCCAAGATTTTTTTTTTGCTAAGGTATTCTTCTTTTGAGGTACTTCAACTGTATGGAATGTAGTTTGGGAAACACTGGAATTAACTCAAAGAGAAACACTTGGCTTTGTTTATAACTTTATTGAGGTATAATTGAAATACAATAAAATGCACATATTTAATATCCATACTTTCCCTGGCTGGTGTTGCTCAGTTGGTTGGGTGTTATCCTATGCACTGAAGGGTGGCCAGGTCAGTTCCCAGTGAGAGTGGGCTCGATCCCTGGTAGGGAGCCTGCAGGAGGCAGCCCATCAGTGTTTTGCTCTCACACAGATGTTTCTCTCTCTCCCTCTTCCTTTTCTTTCTAAAAATCAATAAAAAAAATCGTAAAAAAAACAACAAAGTACACTTTGGTCAATTTTGACATATATTCATCTGTTAAATGACACCACAATTAGTAAAACACATTTCCATCACCCCTAATGTAATTCATTCCTCCTCTCTTTCCCAGGCAACCACTGATCTGCTTGCTGTCACTATAGATTGGTTTGCATTTTTTAGAATTTCAAACCCTTGTTTTTGAAGACTTAAATTATAATCTTCAGATAATTTAAAATCAGTTTCTTAAAAATAAGCCTATAGATATCACTGTTTCAAACTTACATGGGATGGTTTATTGTAAACTTAAAAAACCATTTAGTTAAAATCAAAAGCAGATGAAATTTTTTCTGAATTTGAATCTGAAAAATATCATTACTCTAGTAAAAATAGAGAATTAACCAACTAGAATGTTATAAGGAACCAGAGACAATAACTTCCTTTCTTACCCAGTCATCCATTACTAAGATTAGCATACTCAAAGCCTCCTCTAAATTATCTTAAAACAGACTGACCTAAACTACTCTGGGCTTACTTTTAGAAGAAAAACAAACAAAAAACATCGACCATTTCTTACCTATTTCTTGTCCTTTGCTGTTAGTTGTCTGATAGGAAAAATTAAGTAGAGGATAAAAATTATCTTTTTAAATTTTGTCAAAATATAATTGTAATAGGGAAAGTAAATGAGATAAAAAAATCAGCGAATTTGATCAACTAATGTATTTCAGCCAAAAGTATCACTTAAAATTTTCTAGTTAATGCTTTTTAAATATTTCATAGGTTTAAGTTGCTTAATAACTAGCAATTCTAAAAAATCTCCCTTCTACTTTACACTCAGCTTTTGATTTTCTGTACTAGGATGGAAAGTACAAAGTAATAAATGATAAATGTTATTTATATTTTATAATATAGATGAATTTTTTTTTTAACTCAGTGTTTGAATCCAGCTGTACTTCACCTTCTGGGTATGTACAGTATTATTTAAAAAACACTTTGTTTTTCAGATGAAATTCAGTGGCCCAGTGAAGAAAAACTATTGAATTATTTCAATCATGGTTATTTGAATATTAGCAATTGAAATAATAAAATGGTGAAATAACATTAAAATAATTTTAATGTCCCATCAAAATGGAAATAAATGTTAAAATATGAGGTATGGGAAATGTATTGCATAGAGCAAAATGTCAGGTGCTTTACTTTTATAGACTGGTGTTGGGAGTGTAAAATGGTATAAGCGAGGGGTGGGCAAACTTTTTGACTCGAGGGCCACAATGGGTTCTTAAACTGGACCGGAGGGCCGGAACAAAAGCATGGATGGAGTGTTTGTGTGAACTAATATAATTTCAAAGTAAACATCATTACATAAAAGGGTACAGTCTTTTTTTTTTTTTAGTTTTATTCATTTCAAACGGGCCGAATCCGGCCCGCGGGCCGTAGTTTGCCCACGGCTGGACTAGTTAATGGATAAATAAGATGTTGTATAGTATACATACAATGCATATAAAAAGGAAAGAAGTTCTGGTACATACCACAACATGGATGAACCTTGAAAACATTTTATACTAAGAAGCCAGTTAAAAAGGATGACATAAATTGTGTGGTTCAATTTATATGAAAAATCCAGAATAGGCAAATCTATAGAAACAGAAAAATTAGTGGTTGCTGGGGCTGGGGTAGAAGGAATGGGGAGTGACTGCTAATAGGTACTGGGTTTCTGTTAGAGTGATGAAAGTATTCTCTATATTGGTGTGGGTTGCACAACTTTATGAAATACTTATAAATCTTATAAACATCCGAAGCTTTTTGTTTTCTAATCTTTGTAGTATTTGGGGAAGATTTTCCTCTCTTAATTTATCCTGTATGAATAAAGTCATCAGTGTCAATTTCTAATTTTGTATTTTGATTTAGTCTCCTTAAAAATGTGAGAATACAACAGTTGAGTAGAATATTTTTAAAATTAAAGGCTTACAGTATGGTACTATCAGAAATGCACATTTTCAGACCTAAGCACTATGCCATTAGCCAGTTTTCTGTCTATGTTTGTGAAATCTTCCTCTGAAGATATCTCTTCTGTCCACATTTCATGAATATTAGGCTGCATTAGCTCTTGAATGGATATAAACCCAAAGTGAAAGTGATTTCTCTGTGAAACATTTCCCTTCCTACTAAAGACCTGCTCTCCTTTAGTTTTGTCTATTGAAATTGAAAGAACTTTTAGTTGTGTCATAGCCACATGGCTTAAAAGAATTTGACTGTATTGGCGTAATTATCTTTAGGAGGAGAGAACCAGAACTTTTTCTAAAGCAATTTATTTGAATTATAGGAGCACTAACTTTCTGTTTATACTTAATACCATGACCCTTCAGGCAAAGTGGATCCTTTAAGAGAAGAATTCTGTGATACCTGCAGTTACCCTACTTTGGTATCAAAGTAATTCCTTATCCAATTTTAAAATACTAGGAATATTTTGAACTGGATGCTTTTAATGTCTTTGTCTTCTTGGAACAAACTGCTTTTATTAATCTTGTACCATTAATAAAAATACAAAGGTTATAAAATTATTCTAATTAGTGTTTTATAATGCTGGAAATCAAACCAATGTTTAATTGATTTTTATTTTTCCATTTTTTTTTCTTAACTAGGTCCTTTCTGATGTTGCTTGAGCTTATTCTTCTGCAGTTGATCTCATTCCTGTTGGCTAAATATTAAGTCCCATGACAACATTAAGTTAATGCTCATTTGTTTTAGGCCTCATATATAGTTCTAGGAAATATAGAAAGAAACTTTTATCTGTATATTAAATGACCTAATTCCTTTTCATTCATTCTTAAAAACACCATAACTTCTATAAATAATCATTTTATAGTATTGTCACACCTCTGGCTTATTCTGTACTAAAGAACATAGTTGAGTTTTTGGAAAATACGGGATTTACAAATTTGGTCTTTAATATTCACACACATCTATAAACATTACAATTAATGAAGCAGGAAATTATTGCTGCATAAGATGAATGTTTATTGTGAAGCAGTAATATTTCAAATGTAATTGTTTTTTAAAAAATTTGGTTAAATTTTTGGATTTTTCTATACTCTAAGTTGATAATGGTTTTTTGAAGTTTATTTTATAAAGATGATTCATTTTACTGTTTTATGGTACCAGTAGGATGCTAATATTAAATTGATGTGTTGAGTTATATAAATGTTTATATTAGTATTTAAATAATGAAATATTGGACAGTTAGTTTTATAGTCCAGGGGTGAATGTTTTTGCTGGTTTGATACCTAATACAGTTTCCAAAAGAGAAGCAAATATGAATTTGCTATTTTTATCTTAAGAAATCAGAGCTTTTTTTGTGATAAAAAAGACACAAAACAATTAATAGATATCCAAGAAATAGATATCTGAGAATATATTTTAGTAAGATCTCTGAAGCACTGTCAGTGAAAGACATACAATACTGACTGATAAAACAGTCAGGATTTGCCATGCAGCGAATACTGACACAGTCTTTACCAGCAATATAGTATTGCCAGGATTTTGAATGTTAGAACATTATGTTAAATGGTGATTATAGTTTTAATCCTTTGTCTCTTTGAATTAAATTTGTATCCATAAAGATGTGCAGCATAATTGTTCATGTATTTATTTACAGACTACAATTTCCGTCGCAGCTCAATAAATAGTCTTTCCCCTGTTAGTGCTACCCTCTCTTCTGGGACTCCCAGCGTGCTTCCTTATACTTCAAGGCCTTATTCTTATCCAAGCTATCCCTTATCACCAACAATATCACTTGCTAATGGCAGCCATGTTGGACAGCGACTGTATATCTCCAATCAGGCCTCATTCTTCTGAAGAAATACTGTAAACATGAGTATGAAAGTTTCTTTGTAAAGCATGCTAATTAAAATACTGTTTTATTTTAGAATTGGGTTTGCACTTTTGGTTTTAAAATGATAGATATATATTTCAACAAACATGAGCCATAATTCAGAATAATCCACCGTTGTGTAGAACTTATAAAAATGTAAACTTTTGCCACTTTAAATACTTCTAATTCATGAGTAAGCAATAGAACCCATTAGTTTATGCTAAATTTTTGCATAATATCTTTGCTACATAGCATTTCACAATATTAAAGCACTTGCAGACAATGGTTACACTGGATTTGATTACCAAGGATCACTATATGTCTTAAAGATGAGAACAGTTATATAACCAGAAACATCTAACTATTATGTAGAAAGAAATGAAGGGAATAAAGAGATACAAATTTTACTCGGCACTAAAGAAAAAAGCAATTTACCATTGTGGTCCTGAACTATTAATATTTTAGTTAATTATTTCATATAGAAATAAATTATAATTTTGTTGTTAATATAGTTAAGGTTTTTATAGTTATACTTCACTTGTGTTTTTTGTATTCACTGTATAGTTGTTTGAGTAATAAGTGTTACGGTTATTTAATGTTGAAATCATGTGTTGTTTAATTTTTGTACTTGAATTCAAATTCTTTGACATTAAATATGTGATATTTGAATATGCATGTGTTTTATTTTTTCATTAGTATGTCCAAAAAATTAGCTCTCACAATCAACTTGACTTTTTCTCGAGAAGAGTTTTTACTGGGTATACAGTCATAGGCTCTGTGTCTTCCTGGAACCAAAACAGGATATTGCAGAAAATTGTTGGTCTTATGAAATACAGTGATAAAATTCCTTTTCAAAGGCCAATGGAAATATTTTGTTGATGAACCCAGTGAAGTTTCCCCCTTTTACTTATAAATAATTAATGAATCAGGTCATTTGATTGTTTAATATTTTAGTAGTGTACATTTATAATGAATTTCTAATGATGGTCTGCATCATCAATAGAGACAAAAATACACTCTTTGATACTGACATTAACTTCGTTGATCAGCTCATTGTGTAGCTGTATGACACAGGGTTTGCATACATAGAATATTAAATGGTTACAAATATTTTTCCTTAGGAGAAATTTAATAGTTTCTAGCAGAAGTTTTATGGAGAATAGTGTCATTTTTTTTATCCTCTAAAGAAGGCCCATTTCATATAACCAAATGCAGTACTTAACTTTCCAGATTACTACCTTAGGTTTTCTAATTTAAATAAGCACATATGCTATACTTAATCAACATTAATTTTTTCCTGTGTGAATTGCACGAATTTTACAGTTATCATGACTCAGGTTCATATCACCCTTCAACAAACATACAATGAATGTCAGTTACTGTGGTAATATCCTTAGGATACAGAGGTGACTCAGATTCCAAATCGAAAGAAAAAGACTAATTTTTCATAGGAATGTTTGGAATGGCCCAAATCATAATAATTACAAGTTCCCACATTGCTTTTTCACCTTGAAGAAAAAACAATTGAGAGAGTATACCAACTACACTGTGTATTTGGAGATCCTTGGTAATGTGATAGGAAACTTTAATATCAGATTTGATCACCACTTCTGCCAAGTAACAGCTCTTTGAACTTGGACATACTTTTACATCTGTAAATGGTAATAAACACTTTATATTATAACAAATTATATATGTTTTATATAATTTATATGTTATAATATGTGTATATATTATATAAATAACATTTTCTTTATTCATTCATCCATTGGTAGACGCTTAGGTTGCTTCCATGTATTAGCTGTTGTAAATATTGCTGCAATGAAACTGGGGTACGTATATCTTTTCAAGTTAATGTTTTCATTTCCTTCATATAAATACACAGAGGTGGAATTTCTGGATGATATGGTAGTTTTTAATTTTTTGGTAATCTCCATACTGTTTTTGTAGTGAGTGCACCAATTTACATCTCCACCAATAGTGTATATCGTTTCCTTTTCTCTGCATCCTCACAAACACTTGTTAGCTGTTGTCTTTTTCATGATAGCCATTGTAAAAAGTGTGATATGATATCTTATGGTTTTGATTTGCATTTCTCTGATCAATAGTGATGTTAAGCAACTTTTCAGGTATCTGTTGATCATTTGTATATCTTTGTAAAAAATTTATTCTGATTCTGTGCTCATTTAAAAAATCATCTTTGTTTTTTTTCTATTGAGTTGTGTAAGTTTATATAAAAATATATGAGTATGTATTTGGGGTATAAACTCCTTATCAAGATGCATGATTTGCAAATATTTTTTCCTTTTCCATAGGTTGTCTTTTTATTTTGTTGATTGTTTTCTTTGCTGTACAGAACTTTATAGTTTGAAATAGTCCCACTTGTGTATTTGTGCTTTTGCTGCCATTGCATCCGGCTTTCTATCCAAAATATTGCCAAGATTGAAGTCTAGAAGCTTAATGGTTTTCTTAAAGAGCTTTATGGTTTCAGTTCTTACATTCAAGTCTTTATTTTAGTTGATTTTTGTGTATGTTGTGTGATCCAATGTCACTCTTATTCATATGGCTGTCAGTTTTTCAAACCCATTCATTACAGACATTATCGTTTACTCGTTGTATAATTTTGGCTTCCTTGTCGTAAGTTAATAGGCCATACATGTATGGGTGTATTTCTGGGCTCCCTATTCTGTTCCATTGATTTATGGGTCTGTTTGTATGCCAATACCATACTGTTTTGATTAGGATTGCATTGAATCTGTATATGACTTTGGGGGAGTATGGACATTTTAACAATATTAATTCTTCCACGACAAAGAATATCTTTTCATTTATTTGTGTCTTCTTTAGATTCTTTAATAAATGTCTTTGTATAGTTTTCAGTGTATAGGTCTTTCACTTTCTTGGTTAAATTTATTCCTCAGTATTTTACTCTTTTTGATGCAATTGTAACTGGTGTTATTATTCTTTCTAATAGTTCATTTTTAGTGTATTTAAATGCAATGATTTTTGTATATTGATTTTATATCTTGCAGCTTTTCTGAATTCATTTATTTTGACAGTTCTGGGTGGAGTCTTGAGAATTATCCTATCCTATATAATAAAAGCCCAGCAACCAGATGGCGGAATGACCAGAACTACTGCTCTACCAGTTGCTGTGACATGCACTGACCACCATGGGACAGATACTCAATGCAGGAACTGACCCCTGGTGGTCAGTGTGCTCCCACAGTGGGAGCGCTGCTCTGCTGACCGGGATGAGTGGCACTCCCACAGGAGGCCATCCCCGCAGGCCACGCCCCCCACCAGTGCATGAATTCCATGCACCGGGCCTCTAATATATACATACTAGAGGCCCGGTGCACGAAATTCGTGCACAGAGGTGAGGGTGTGTGTGTCCCTTATCCTGACCTGCACCCTCTCCAATCTGGGAGCCGTCAGGTGATGTCCTACTGATGGCTTAGGCCCACTCCCCGTGGTTCTCTGCTCTCTGCAGGGCCTGACTGCTCTATACTGCAGCCAACTGCCAAGCAAGCCGTACTGGGACTGCAGCAGTGGCCAAGCAAGCTGTGCTGGGAGCTGGTGGCAGGCCGTGCTTCCCTGCTCCCGGGTTGCCACAGTGACTGCCAAGCAGGCCATGCTGGGAGCTGCCTGCGGGCTGTGCTTGCCTGCTCCTGGGTTGTCGCGGTGACAGCCAAGCAGGCCATGCTGGGAGCTGCCTCCTCCCTGCTGTCAGTCTCCATGGAGGCGATGAGGTTAATTTGCATACCCACTCCTGATTGGCTGGTGGGCATCGTGAAGTGGCGGTCAATTTGCATATTTCTCTTTTATTAGTGTAGATATAAAATACCATGTCATACGCAAATAGAAACAGTCTGTTTTTTCCAATTTGAATGACTTTTATTTTTCTTATCTAATTTCTCTGGCTAGGACTTTTGGTACTATCTATGCTAATAAAAGAGAAAATGCAAATTGACCGTACCTTTGCGACACCCACCAGCCAATCAGGAGTGGGTATGCAAATTAACCCAACAAAGATGGCAGGTTAATTTGCATTCACAGGCACCAAGCAGCCGGGGGCGGGACGCTTGCGTTGTTGCCATGGCGACAACTCAGGCTTCCACACCGCCCCAGCTGCTCCGGGCCTCTGGGCAGCATGGGAAGGCGGAAAGGCGGCGCCAGCCTGAGCAAAGGCAGTGCCGGCAGCCAGGGGAAGGAAGGCCCATTCTTGCATGAATCTTCATGCATTGGGCCTCTAGTGTTTAATAAGAGTGTAAGAGTGGGCATCCTTGTCTTGTTGCTGATAATAGTTATTTGTATTAGGTTACTGGTTCAGTTTCATTTTTTTGCATGTGGCTGTCTGGTTTTCTCAAAACCATTTATGAAGAAACTGCCCTTTCCCCATTGCTTATTCTTAGCTCCTTTGTTGTAAATTAATTCACCATATATTCATGGATTTAATTCTGGGCTCTCTATTCTGTTTTCATTGATCTATGTATCTTTTTTTATGACAATTCCATATTTTTTATTACTATAACTTTGTAATATATTTTGAAATCAGAAAGCATGATGCCTGCAATTTTGTTCTTCCAGAAGAGCTATTTTTTGAGCTCTTGATGCATACCTTGGTGAATGGAAGAGACGTGTTGAGGCGTCTGGAAAACTGCATAGAAAAAAAATAGGAGTAGGAGGCTTAAGGGTGAGCTAATGGTCCCTCTCAACTGTGAAATAGGTGTGGGGGGGGGAAATACTTGGTATATACAGGCAGTCTTTTCTGGGATAGGAGGGTCAAAAGGATTCTGTGTGGTAGAGAGAAAAAAACAGCAAAAGGGAAATTTCAGGATCCTGTGAGGTAAATGAGAACCACAAAATGAAAAGGCATCTGATCCCGAGCACTGACAAAAACAATCCATTTAGAGAAATTGTGCTTGACTACACTGAGATCAGAGGGCATTCTTAAACTTGGAATCTTATGAACCACTCAAAA